TGGCAGGAAAGACCTGGGATTTTCCAGCTCATCCAACCTTTGCAGGGCTGCACACCCTGCTCTGCTTGAAGAGGAGCAAGTTGGGCTGAGCCCATGGCAAAGACCACTCACAGCTGAGCTCAGTGCCCTTTGGGGAACCTGAAGTGACAAATCAGTGCTTGGGTGAAAACCTGGTGACAAAAATTCAGCCAGGACACCACCACACACCTTCCTGGCCAGCCAAGGAGCTGCACTGACCTTGTCCGAGCGCAGCGACTGGGGTGGAGAGAGCAGAGGGAGAGGATGTGACTCACATCTGGGCTGTGCCTGCAGAGGACAGATGTGTTTTGTTACTGTCCAGGGCCCTCTCTGCAGCACCAAGTGACTCAGCCTTGCCTCGGAGCCCTTCCGAAAAAGGAGCCACAGAGCATCTCCTCCCAGCAGCATCCCTGGGCTGCCATAAAACAGATTTGGGAAGTTCAGCCTCCTGCAAAGGAGAAAAATAAAATAGAATAAATAAAAGGCCTGTTTCTCCACGGGAATCTTCCCATTTCAATTGCAAATCATTCAGAGAAGGAGAAAATCAAAAGCTTTAGTGGTGGGATCCATCTCTAAGTTGAGAGAATTAAAGGTTAAACATCCTTCCCATCCAAACAGGGCACCAATGAGTCCTCTGAGTTTTCTTAGACACCGTAGGACAAGAGGAAACATCTTCTGGAGATGCTTCATATCCGGAGGGAGGAATAAAGGAATTTCAGCAGGTCTCCCTCCTAAAAATTCTAGGAAACTCAGCAGCATTTCGTGGAGAGAGAGCCCCAAAGTGCCTAGGTAAGGCTGAGCCTCTCCATATGAGACACCAGGGAATCTAAAAACGGGAGCAATGCAGCCAGGTAGGCACAACACGTTGCTTCTGGGGGTCTCCTGCAAAGCCCAGCCCCCAGCCCTTCCACCCTGGGCAGTGTCCCCCCCGACAGCGACCCCCACCAGCAGCTCTCCACACTCACCTTCACTATTCACCTGCCCGGGTACCGAGGGGCACCGTGGGGGGATGGCTGGGGCCCCCAACAGCAAACCAGCTCCTGCTCTGCACCACACAGACACTCCCTGGTGTTTTCCAGGGGGGGAACAGACGGGGCCACATCTGCCAGGGATTTTTCCAGGGCCATCCTGGCTTTGCAGGCACCAACAGCCGCATATTTTGCTCTGATGCCCGTGTGGGATAAGGGACCAAGTGCTCCCCCAGCTTGACCCAGGGGCCAGAAAACTGGGAGCCAGCAATGCAGTTCGCTTGGCAGACACTTGATGGGGCTAAGAAACCGATTACTGGCACACCCGGCAAAAACTGAGGGGGCAAAACCACCTCGGCCAGATGTTTTGGGGTCCTGGGCTGGCGTTGCAAGAGCTGGCACCACCCGTGCGGGCTGCTGGTGCCGACGCGGTGGCACCCGGTGCCTGGCAGCTCCTGTCACATCCTGGGCACTCTGCAGGCGTTGCCAGCAGCTGGACAAAGCCAGAGGCTTCACCCCAAAAGGATTTTCCATGCTCTGTTTTGGGAAAGAAGGGACTGGCAGAGCGGGCAGCTCCAGCAGCGCTGCCTTGCACAGCATGGAGTGATTCTCATGCTGCTGCTGCTGCAAGACGTCTGGTCCAAACCTTGGCTCTCCACAGCCTTCTGTGGTGGGGGTGGGTGGGATTCCCCCACATTGCACCCCAAAACAGAGGGAGGATGGGGAGATCCAAGCCCGAAGCAGATCCCAGGCGGGGTGAGAGGCGCAGCCCCGCATTGCGGAGCCCGCTGCGGGCGAGGGCTGGCCCCCAATTCCCCCAAGGCTGCTGCCAAACTTCCCAGCGTGGCTCTAAATCCACCAGCCTGGCTCCAGCTGGCCGAGCAAGCTGGCAGCAGCATGAGAGAGCTGAGAGAGTCAAAGAGAGGAAAAAAAAAACCAACCCCAAAGAGCTAAGGGCTGGGCTCCATAAATCCCGAGCTGGTTCCTGGTGGAGAGGACTCCCCTCCCTCCTGCTCCTCTCACTGTGCCACAAATTATGGCCCCAACTTTGCTGTTGTTCAGTGATGAACATCTGAAAAAGCTGTGACAGATGAGCAAAGGGATGATTTAACAGCCATAAATCCAGGCAGCTTAGAGGTGTTTTTACAACCAAGCCCATCTTGAATCCCCTCTGTTATGAATACTTATCGCTCCCAGACACGGCTACAATGGAAAGATTTTTAGCAGCTTTAATAGAGAAGCAATAAAACCCCCCCCGAGCCCAGCAGGCAGACGTCCTTTTTTCTCCCTGGCAGGAGGGAGAGGGGCTGAGAGCCCCTTGCTGTGCTCAGGCTTGAAAGAGCTGAGCTGGAGCAGCCACCCGGGCACCACCAAGCCCTGGGTGTAACGGGTGGGTGATATCACCCAGAACCAGATCAGCTTTCCTCAAGCTGTTGCTTGGAGGGTGTAAATAATACAGGAAGGGATGAGAGCCAGGCTGTGCAGCACCTTCCTCCTCTGCTATTACCCTTCCCTATACCAGGGTTTCCTTCCCCAAATCACAGCTGGTCTAACCCACCTCTGAGGATTTACACCGAGGGTGCTTTCAGCTCCACCAAAACCCCTCCCCAGGGAGGGTGACATCCCTCAGCTGCCCCTCACTGCTTTTAATGCACCTCAGTTCATCAAAGCTCAACGCCCACCACCCAGTGAGCAGGGGAGGGGCACTGGGAGACCTCCCATCTTGGGGTTAATTGGCCAAGGGTCTCAATCCCTCTTGCTGGAGCCTCTCTGCACCATTCTGCAAGGGCAGGCTGCACCCAGCCAGCAAAATCAGAGGTGCTGGGGCTGCACCCACTGCAAAGGGCACCTGGTGCTGAGCAAATAGCTGAGGAAAAAGCACCTCCTTTCTTCTACACACCAGCTTATCACCAAAGTGATAAGCAATTCATCAGAGGGAGGGAGCAAAAGCCATCCCAGGGCACGTGGCTTCTGGGTTTCTAGAGCTGCTCAGCCCTCACCCAGGTAAAACCTCAGGTAGAACCTCTGCAGGGCTGATGTTTTCCCCCCTGAATGTGTGGAGTGCCTCAAGGAGGGTGATTAAAAAGAAAAGAGAAGGAGCAAGGCAAGAGAAACGTGGCCATGAAACCCTGCTCCTGGGCTACTGGCCCTGCAGGGCAGGGAATGAGCTCAGCCCCAAGGGGCTGTGGTCTCCAAGCCTGGGTGGTAGATTAATGGGTTGAGAGTGTTATCTAAAGGAACATGTTTTTTTTTTTTAATAAGATAATACTGAATAATTGATTTTTAAATACACCAAAATCAAATGTCCCGAGGCCAGAGCAGGATCCCAGCTCCACTGAGGGCTCGGGTGGCAGAGATTGAGCACACAAGAGAGAAGAATATAAAAATTCAACCTCCTTCTTGGGCCCGGCTGGCTGCAGGGCAAACACTAAGGGTTCTTTAAAAGGTGCCTCTGTTTATTCCCCCATTCAAAAAGGAGGTCATCAAAAGGGAGAAGCTGAGCTGGAGAAGGCACCAGGGACCATGGAGGCCAAGCAGAAGATCCATCTGATTAAAACACACGACAAGGGCTGGGAGACAAAGTCATTTTTAAGACAATTTATTCCAATCTCTCTCTCTCCTCATCCTTCACTCAGTCCCAGTCAGGAAGGGGTTAAGGACATTGTTTTTATTTTATTTTAATGATTTTATTCTTTTTCTTAGAAAAATACACATGCAAATAATATATATTTCACCACTAAACTTCTTTTTTTTATGTTGGAAAAAAATAACAATAATAATAAAGAAACAAAGCAGGATTTGGGGGAAGCCCTGAGTTGAGACAGACCCAGGGATGGGATGCTCCAGGATGCAGGTCTTGATGCTGAGCTGCCTGTTGCTCATGCTCCATCAGGAAGGTTTTTATCAGGGCAAGGGGGCTGCTGGAGGGGATTAAAGTGGAACAAAATGCACGTTGCTCCCCTCCAGCAGCTCCTCACCCTGACAAAAATCCTCCTCCAGCAGCTCTGCCCAGGTTTGAGGCTGGCCAAGGGAAAGCCAGTGCTGGGTCTGATCCTTCTGTGAGACCCAGCACCAGCCCCAGCACCAAGAGAAGCCCAGTTTAGGTAAAAACATCGTTTTTGCTGCTAGGAAATGACACCAGAAACTAAGAGCTACGTGGGGAAAAGAAGAAATGGGGAAAAATGGACTGATGGACCCTGGAAACTCAGGTTTATGGTTCAGGAGAACGAAGGGGCTGGGGAAGGAGATGGCAGCGAGGTGCAGCCCTGGGGAAGGAGGATGCTTAATCCAACAGCACGGCTCCTGTGGGAAGCTGGGGGGATCTGGGAAGAGCCACAAGCCCACAGCAGCCCCAGCAGTGAGGGGAGTGAGAATCTGCTGCTTTCCTGCCTCCCCTCCCAGCAGTCCTGCCCCAGGCCATGGCTTTTCTCCTGCTGATCCAGGCTAATGATCCGGAGCAAACTCTCTTTTCTCTCTGCCCAGAGGTACAAAACCCAGCAGGGAAGGATTCCCAAGGGCAGGATTTCCCTCCAGCTCCCAAGGAACCCTACAGGAAGAAAGGCAGCAGCACTTTGTAGCCACCTCAGCTTCCAGCAAGCCCCCACACTACCCACATCCCTGCCCAGATACCCAACAGAGAGCAGAGGCAGCAGCTCACAGCAGGGCTGGAGCTCTCCCAAACACACCTAGGGGCTGCAGCTGTCCCTTTTTGCATTTCCCTCGTTTTGGGGGTGGTTTTTTTTTCCACTGACAAAATACACTTTGGGGGCTGCCTGCTCTGCAAACAGATGCACGAGGGGCTGGCGAGGAGGGGGGACTGTTTGGCTCCTATTTCTACAGGCTGTCCTGGAGCAGCTCTACAATGTGGTGGACGATCATGCAGGTTTTATTGCAGCTTGTGTGTAGGATTATTGGTTTTCAGTAGCCCAGCTTCAGCTTCCCCCAGAGGTGGGTTTTTCACCCCTCCCCACTCGCTGCGGCCGCCGTCTCCCTGCTGAGCGGTGGCCAAGGTGGCTACTCGGTGGCCATCTGCTCGATGTGGTCGCTGAGCAGCTTGTATTGCTCTGTGGAGGAGAGGGAAAAGGGTGCTGGAGCATCATCCCGGGTTGGAAGTTGGGCTCCATCCCTCCAGGACCCTGGGAAGGGGCTGTGGATCCCCCCCAGGGTGGCTCCCACCTTCATCCAAGTTCCCGATGGTCGCCTGCTTCTTCAGGAAGTCACTGCAGAGCTTCTTGTTCAGGCCAAAGGCCAGCATGTTGTGGATGAAGGTGCTGAGGAAGGAGAGAGGCACTTGGTGAGGGTAGGGCCAGACTGCTCTTTCTTCTCCCCCCACCCTCCTCTTCCTCCCTGCAGCCCCTTGTAGTGGGCTCTGGGATGATGCTCGGCTCTGGGAGAGCATGCTGGCACCCTGAGGTGCCTGGATTTTCTTCCCTCCACGCTCCTCTTCCTCCCCATAGCTCTCGTACTGGCTGCTGGGGTGACACTCAGCTCTGAGAAACCATGCTGGCACCCTGAGGTGCCTGGATTTTCTTCCTCCCACCTTCCTCTCCCTCCCTGCATCCCTTTATACTGTGCGCTGGGATGGCGCCCGGCTGCGGTACCCCGTGGAGCCTGGATTTGCAACTTAAGGGGGCAGGAGCAGCTCCCAGGGAG